CTTCTCCCCATTACTCTCCCTCTTCCCCCAAGTCTCCAGAATACTCTCCCTCTTCTCCCCATTACTCTCCCTCTTCTTCCCATTACTCTCCCTCTTCCCCCAACTCTCCAGAATACTCTCCCTTTTCTCCCCAATACTTTTCCTTTCTCCCCAATACTTTCTCTCTTCCCCCAACTCTCCATAATACTCTCCCTCTTCTCCCCAATACTCTCCCTCTTCTCCCCAATACTCTCCTCAATACTCTCCCTCTTCTCCCCAATACTCTCCCTCTGCCCCCAACTCTCCACAATACTCTCCCTCTGCTCCCCAATACTCTCTCTTCTCCCCAATACTCTCCTCAATACTCTTCCTCTTCTCCCCAATACTCTCCCTCTTCCCCCAACTTTCCTCAATACACTCCCTCTTCTCCCCAGTACTCTTCCTCTTCCCCACAGTACTCTGACATGAACTCTACCGGCTCCAATTCTCCATCTCCCTCTCTCTTGTATTCTCCCCTCTCTCCGTCTCCCTACTCTCCCCATTCATCCTATGGTTATTGTTTTTTTGTTTTTCTATTAAATTAATATTCTTTTGTAATTTTTATTATAATTAGAAAATTTAATGTTAGCTATTTCTTAACAATTTTTTCCTTGTAATCAGTGCCATTATGAATTTTAATAAGAATTATTTCTTTATTTTCTTTCAGTTCACTTGCAGGGGTATCAGCGTCTCATGGAGGCATACATTTAGGACGCCCAACACTCTCGCAGATCTCATGGCAAATAACGAAGCCGACCTCACAAACTGTCTTGGACTACCTCTAAGCTAGCTGATGAGCCTTTCTCTCCTTTTTGTTAACTACTCACATACATGTTGTGAATAGGGTGTTATATAAACCCTTGCAGAGCCAACTCATTGTTGTCACAGTATTGGACTCTTTTTTGGCTTTTTTGTAAAGGGATTACCTTGCCCATTAGGGTTCTGGGAGATCCCAATATTTGTAAGGGACGCTAGAACCAACACCTGTATTTACTTCTTTTTTTTATTCAATGAAACAATTAACTTTCTGAAAAAAAAGAAGAAAAATTAATGTGGTTTGTCTCTACATTTTGCAATGTACTGAAATACAATGTTTTGAAATTGAGTATAATTGGAATTGTAGACAAAGAAAATTGTCTAGAGCTTTGTTGTTTGTTTCTTACACGACTGTATTCAGTAAAAATGGACCAAGGTTTGCAAGCAAATTATAATTTATCCTTGTTTGATAATTGTATGCCCTGTTTTCTGTTTTGGGCATTGTGTTTGTGCCTTTAGCAGTGTGATGTGGTTCATATAATTTGCATCCAATGGAGCCCATGCCATATATTTGTGGTGAGAAAATTGAAATTAAGCTTTTGTTGTGTACTTCATCCTATTTTGAAATCTACAGGCTAGCAAAATTTGTGGGACAATCTTTGTTTTAGAGTGATGCTTTATTTATATGTTTCAAGCTATGCAAGAGCTCCATTGAAAAATTCAGCAAGGTGGTGCAAGAGTTAGAGTTTTAGAGAGAGAGAGAGAGAGAGAGAGAGAGAGAGAGAGAGAGAGCGACTATAGAAGTAAAGTACGGGTTAGGGTGGTAGACGAAGAGTACGTAGTGTTACGTAGTAGGTACGTACGGTCGTCGGACGTAAGTAGCGTCTCTACGTAC